CATGTATATATTTTGTTTAAATTATAGAATTATTGTAGCTTCTACCCTGGTTACCCAATTATGAAGAAGAATGCATTTAGAAGCAAACACCTATTTGCGGTATTCCTGTCTTAAGACAGCATCTAGTTTGTTAGCTCTACTGGTCAGAGACCAGAAGAGCTTATGCGATAGTAAGGTGTCCGTCGTCCGTCCGTCTGTCTGTCTGTCTGTCTGTCCGTTCGTCTGTAAACAATTTTTCAAAATGCTACTCCTCCTACAGTTTTGGTCTGATTTCAATATAACTTGGCACACAAGTAGACTACACTAAGATACATAATTCTGTGTATCGGTTTTTGATTTCGATGAACGGTGTTGCCATGGTTACTAAACATAGTAATTTCTGTGAAAAACATTCAAAATGCTACTCCTCCTACAGTTTTTATCTGATTTCAATATAACTTGGCGCACAATTAGACTATACTAAGATAAATAATTCTGTGTATCGGTTTTTGATTTCGATGAACGGTGTTGCCATGGTTACTAAACATAGAAATTTCTGTGAAAAACATTCAAAATGCTACTCCTCCTACAGTTTTTATCTGATTTCAATATAACTTGGCGCACAATTAGACTATACTAAGATAAATAATTCTGTGTATCGGTTTTTGATTTCGATGAACGGTGTTGCCATGGTTACTAAAAATAGAAATTTCTGTGAAATACTTTCAAAATGCTACTCCTCCTACAGTTTTTATCTGATTTCAATATAACCTGGCACACAAGTAGACTATACTAAGATGCGTAATTCTGTGTATCGGTTTTTGATTTCGATGAACGGTGTTGCCATGGTTACTAAAAATAGAAATTTCTGTGAAATACTTTCAAAATGCTACTCCTCCTACAGTTTTGATCTGATTTCAATATAACTTGGCACACAAGTAGACTATACTAAGATGCGTAATTCTGTTTATCGGTTTTTGATTTCAATGAACGATGTTGCCATGGTTACTAAAAATAGAAATTTCTGTGAAATACTTTCAAAATGCTACTCCTCTTACATTTTTGGTCTGATTTCAGTATAACTTGGCAAACAAGTAGACTACACTAAGATACATAATTCTTTATATTGATTTTCTGATTTCGATGAACATTTTTGCCATGGTTACTAAAAATAGAAATTTCCTTGAAATACCTTCAAAATGCTACCCCTACAGTTTTGGTCTGATTTTAGTATTACTTAGCTCACAAGTAAACTACATTAAGATACATTATTCTCTGTACCAGTTTCGGATTTCGATGAACAGTGTTGCCATGGTTACTAAAAATAGAAATTTCCTTGAATTACCTTCAAAATGCTACTCCTCCTACAGTTTTGGTCTAATTTTAGTATAACTTAGCACACAAATAGACTACACTAAGATACATAATTCTCTGTACCAGTTTTCGATTTCAATGAATGGTGTTGCCATGGTTATTAAAAGTAGAAATTTTCTTGAAATACTTTCAAAACGCTACTCCTCCTACACTTTTTGTCTGATTTCAGTATAATGTTTCATACAAGTAGACTACAGAGATACATAATTGGTGTTATTGTTTTTTTGATTTTGTTGAATGATGTTGCCATGGTTACTTAAATCAAAAAGGCTACTCCCCCTACAGTTTTAGTCTGATATAATAATAAATCTTGCTACAAAAGAGACTAAACCAAGGATCATTATTCTGTTTATTGCTGTTGCAAAGTTTTTAGTCAAAGTGCTACTTTTATCTTCCTTTATAAATACAACCAGTAGAGCTACAGCCTCGTCAGAGACTTCTGGTTTTTACACAGGTTTATTATAAAAAGAATCGAAGTTTCGATATGACGTCGTAACTTTTGTAGATCATATTTCTCTAAGAAAGAGTTCTATTCGTATGTTATTTTGATTTCCGGAAATTTGAAGAGATTGAATTAGGTGAAAAAAAAAGTTTTATAGATGCATACATTTACATTTAACTATATCTTTAATTCTTTAGAGATAAAAAGTTAAAATTAAAATCTCACTTACGAAGAACAGCAGATTTATTCTTTTTTTATATTTACATGTAGGTATTATTATAGATTACAGAGACTTGTTTCAGATCAGGAGAACTCAAACTTGTTTTTGCAACATGCATATTCAGAGGATGAAAAACTTGCAGGAAATGGAAAATATGTTGGCAAAACTGTATACGAGGAATACTTGATGAAGTTATTGGTTCAAATGCTAATACATTATCTATAAATGATTTTGAAAATAAATTGAAAAAGTATTTTGAGAATATAGTTTAATTTCAGGGACATTGGAAATATAAAAAAAAAAAGGTAATGGGAAATTGTCATTCTACAACCAGTTAATACATGCAAGTCTGCAAAATCTAAACAAGCCTGAAATTCAACCATACTTAAATATTTCCATTTCCAAAAAGCTTCGTTCTTTTTTGACTCGGTTAAGAATAGGTGCCCACAAATTACAGATAGAGGTTGGCAGATATTGTAATCCAATTACATGTATACCAAGAGATGAAAGATATTTTATTAACTGTCATACATGTACTGTTGTTGAAGATGAACATCATTTTTTATTTGTATGTCCTCTTTATAAACAACTACGAAGTAAATATTGTACACTTTTTAACAATACATGTATATCTTATGAAATTCTTAATCCAGCAGATGTTAAATCAACAAGAAATATTTGTAACTTCATATGTGATGCATTAACGTAGAAACTACGTCGTATGACGTCATATCAAGTAAATGAGTTTAGATCGTCTTTTTGGTGCTAGATTCATTATGATGTCATAATTAATTTAATGTTACTTTTTCCCGTACTTTCTCCAAGACTATATCTTGTAATGAGGTTACACATCTGTGATAATGTGAATGACATGCAACTATTTTGAAGGAAATCAAAAATCCTAAGAAATCTAAATAGTACATGAAATGTGTCTGATTCAAAGATCTTCTAAAAAATTGTGGGTAAATTTTGTATTGTCTATCATGAAATGACATGCATTCCCTTTCATAAATATTTGTTAAGTATTCATAATAGTTGATGTATAATAATAATGTTTCCCTAAAATATTACTAGTATCTTTTTAAATAAAAAAAATTACATATTTTTAATAAATATTCACATTGTAAATCTGAACGTAACCCCAAAACAGTCATTTAATAATTAAATCCTGTGTAAGTGCAAAAAGGTCAACAAAAGAAGTATTAATAAATAGTGTCTCTCATTCGATTGTCGGGAAAAGTATATATTTTAATCACTTTTTGTAATTATTTGGGTATATTCTTCTTCATATTAAAGATTGAAAACATTCTGACAAAGACTTTTTAAAAATATTTACAAATTTATGTGGTAAATTGACTCAAAAAATATTGAGCACATTTTCCTATATTCGTTGAAATATGGACTTAATCTTTTATGACAATTAAATAAAAAAAAAGAATTTATTCTTGAATAATATTGCTTAATACTGTTCAGTTAATAAAGTCTATAAACAACGATGTATAAATTTATTTTTGTGATTTTCTATATTCTCTTAATGATCAGTGCCCCTAAAAATGGCTGAAAATATGTAGTCGCAGTGTAAAATTATCATTCCAAGTTGCACAGGCTGCACTACATTTAGTAACAAGGAAGCATACCACATATTTTTAACTGATTGATAAACGAGTGCTAATTTATCATTTTGAAAAGTTTGAAAATCTTGTGACAAAGACTTTTCCGACATAGGTTCTACTTTAAACATAAGAAAATCTCTGTGACTATATTTGTATACTGTATGTATGACTTAATTGCGCCACATGTGGTTTTTGTCTATAATCAAAATTAAATCAAATTAATGATACAACAGTCTACAATTATGCATACCCCAGATATATAAGCAAATTATTAAAAAAATAAATATTAAGGTATCTCAGCGCTGTTAAGGCATACTATGGAGAAATCAACGGAATATAGAAGTGCACAAATACACACCTTTTTAAACTGAATTTGTTTTGTAAAGCTATTATTTTATCACATAAATTTAATATTAATTGCAATAACACATTAAAATCCCACTTTGTAGAGAATTTAGCTTGGTCACCTTATTTGACAGTCACGTGATAAATGCATATAATGTGTACTACATGGAGGTCATAAACAAGGGCATACCCTAATTCAAAGTAAAATTTTAATTCATGAATTATTTCTATACATCTTAGGCTTTCTGTAATGTGCTGCTTTAACTAGAATTCCCATGTACTAGTTTAAATTTCAAGTAATGGGACTCCACCTGAAAAATGCGTGACCTTTATTAAGTATCCTGTGTGTTTAAAAAGTAACGTTCTCGATTTCACGAAAGCAGCAGCACTTTTCAGGTTAAGGAACATTTCTATCTATATTTAATAAATGGCCAAGATCTATTAAGTGTGCGATTTATCGAGACACGTCGATTTTAAATGTGCCATTCCTTTGCACAAAACACAGGATAATAAATTCAATACACTTTCCCGATGCAAAAATAATAATGACAATTAATAAATCTTACACATAGAAACTAATTGACTATTCGCGGTTTATAAAGCGTAAACTGTCCCAAGTTATGTTATATCGTATAACATAGGTTAAAATTAGCTTCATTCCTTAAATAAAATGCATTTCTCACTGTAAAAATCATTTGATCCACCACTCACTGCTGTAGTGTCGATCGGGTTTGGCCTACACCCGGCAGTGACGTCACCGGTAATCTCTCTTACTGCGAAGCCTTTACAGACCAGACGACATATATCTGACACTTAGGTAAATCTATGTGCACCTAATCTCGTGTGGTATTAAGGAGTCGTTATTATTGTACCGAGTGTACAACACTGCACATAAAATGCGTCAAATTTTACCATGATGACGTCATGTCGACAAGTGCATTGCAATCAGCGACTTGTTCATATCTTGCTGTGTAGGATTTAACTGGCGATAAAAATAAATGCAGTGGCAAGTTTTGATGTAGTTCAATACTAGTATTATACAGTTTAAACTTTCAAATTATTTCATTTTATGATATTATGAAGAAATGATATTTTTGCGTGATGTCACAGTAAGCATTGCCCGTATAGATTAGGCCACGCCTCCTTTATGTAGCTTTAACTGCATGTGCTGCGATGTCATAGGGCGAGGCTTTGTTTGTTCTCAGGTAATACATTTTATATTTCTTGGTATCATCAACATAGAATCCCATCCTGTTGTCCTCTGATGTGTCTGTATCTATTCCTTTCCCTGTTTTACATTGATCCAGAGTATCGCATTCCCAGGCCTTAAACGTCTGATTCGAGAGGATGGATTCCGTGAAGAGTTCGTAAGCTCGAGAATGGCTACACGTAACTGAAAGTGGAGCAGATAATGACTAACAACAGAATGAACTCAAGATTATTATCAGATCGGATATACTAGTATTAGTTTCTATAAGTAACTTACGCAAGCATCCAGGCTGGGATTGTCCACCGTTCGGATAAAAATCCAAATGACCAAGCGCATTTAAATAACCAAGTCCTAAAATTCAAACAGATTATCCCATGAGCATCAAGAAGTGTAAAATATAAATTAATACATGTATCTACATTTAATTATCAATGATTTAATGAGGCAACTTTAAATATCGAGGTATCTGATAAAAACTTCTATTATAAGTTCAAGTTAAATACTAAAATCTGATTGGTTTAGACGCAGTTAACAATCCGTAATGTTACCCTCAGCATTAGCAACACACTTGACAACAGGTAACACAACGAAAATGTTACATGCGTGCAAATCATGCGCGTATTTTTCAAAACGTCCCTTACACAAGTGCGTTTGAAAGAAGCCGAATAAACTTGACGTTAATAAAAACTTGCATCCGATGTAGCTTACTTGTAAACAACAAACGACACACGAAACATACTTGCGAGTGTAGAAATAACGAAACTTTAGGTGATAAAGAACTCTTTGAGTATCAAACAAACAATAACGAGGTCGATAAATCTTTTTTCGAAGCTTTCTTAGTGAGAAAAATAGAATCGGGGAGTTTGAAAGCTTTCGAGAACGTAAAGACGATCGACGACATCCTAAATCAGTAAGACATTCAGTATCATGAGTATAATAAAATAACAAAACAGGCACCATTTATATAACCTTAAAGTATCAGATAAAATCCAACTGAGTTCTATTGTAACCAGTTTAACAAATATTGTAATAAAGAAGTAGAATTTGCTGCTGTCATAATGTTTTAAGCTGGAAGGACCCTCTGGTAAGAGAGAAAACTTCCAAAGAAATTATCCGATAGTTTGCCTTATGTGATGGAGACGAATATTTAGTCAGTTTATTCCAGAACAATATCAGACACAAACATTGACCTATATTTTCTTCTATCAATATTTTTGATAGATTTATTTATATATGACCTAAGATATTTACACCCATTTTTTTACAAGTGAAAAAGTGGGATATATCTATCTTCTTACAAACAATTTTAAAACTACAGTAACTTTTCGTGTGCCACATATATAGAACTTTCAACAATACTATTTTTTTTCTAAAAAAAATGTTTGAATGAAGATAACTCTTGCTAATGGATGCATTTTTTTACGAGCACAGATCACAATGTGACATTTTGACTTGAAAAACACCACTTCATTATGTTTTCTGAAATGAATGACGGTAATTATTATAATTTTCATATAAACTTTTTACTATTTTCCATAATCTAATGCTTTTATTTTTGATGATTGATTGATTGTATGTTGTATAACGTCCCATTCGAGAATTTTTCATTCATATAGAGACGTCACCGTATGGCGATGAAGGGCTTCAAATTTACACCTATACTCTGTACTCTGGGCCATTGAGCAGTGAGAGTTCTTTATCGTGCCAACGCCTACCGTGGCACATTACAGGAACTCGGATTTTAAGGTCTCATCCGAAAGACCCGTGACTTTCACTTCTACTACCAGGCGCTTTGGGAAGGAACAACTACCTACGTTTACGTCTTAGGTTTGACGCGGGGCGTTGAACGAAAATCGAACCCGAACCTCCCGATCACGAAGCGAGCTCCCTACCACAAGGCTACCGTGATCGGTTCTATTTTTATGAAAATTAATGTTGGGAATTAAAGAAAATGGTGAAATTTACAACAGAGGGTCATTACCCCTTTCACTCTTAAATTCACCATTTGTTTGGAATAATTATGTTTTCCCCATGATTATGTAATAAGAGACCCTGGGGCCTTAACAGTCATCTAAGTATAACACAACCCTGTAATCAGTAGAATGGCAATCAATAACTTATAGTTACTATAAGGATGACGATATATTGCTCATAAACGACAGAAATAGGATGATTAAGTATCAGCAAAATAATTAGTCCGGTAATCACCAACATCTACTTACTCGCCGGTATGAGCCAGTGCATTGTTACTATCACAAAATTTAACACAATAGTGCTTGAGCATGAATAGTAAACCCAGCACAATCCCCATTCGACAGATCTTTCTTGGTATTTGAAAAACTCTTTATGTACAAAATAAGGTATTTTTGTCTCATTTTTATTTATCTATTGTTAACATGTCTACCTGACTATTATTTTTTTATTATTACTTGTTTTCTACTTTTAATTTTCTGGTATAATTCTTTTATTCCATTGGTAGTTCGATTGTTTTTTACAGTGCTTTATTATCATATTAAGTGAATAACAAAGTGGAGTATAAATTTCTATACATGATCAATGGAGCCCTGCCCAGCATCAGAAATAATGATCCAGTGGTCAAGAAATCAAAAAAAAAATGTGGTAAAAATACCCTTCCTCATTACAACTTTGTGCCTTGCCTACTAAATTTCCGTGAGCAAGAGAAGATTTTCAAAGAATTAATGTATTGTCGCTATACCATCAACAGAGTCAGAGCCCCGCCCTAACACCAGAACCCATGAACCTGGGCCCATGCATTTATCACCGGGGAAAATAAGTGTATAACTTTCCGGCAACAATGAAACATAAAAATGCTAACGATAGAATAGCACTTTATTATAACTTAGGTCGGTAGGGTGAATTCTGGAAATCCAAAATTACACCCGAACAATCCGAAGCCTAGGACTTGACTGATTAACAATGATGCATGTAACATATAAATAATAAAGTATAACAATGACAATTAGCACAATTCTGAACATGAGTGACAGATGGCTTAGATAGAATAACTCATGACATGTTGAGTAAATTGATTAAATTGGCGCGTTTTGAGTAACATAGTAATTAGCATATTAAAGTTTTTCGTGATATTTAAAGTAATTACAGATAATTAAAAGTATATTTCAAAGTCAGGTAAAACATGTCACTAAAATTGTTTTTATCAAAATTTACACTGTGATAATTCCCTCTCGCTTCGAAAAATGAGACGTCCTCGTCTCAGGAATCACCGGGGACTGGCATGTGGAACACTAGGTTGTTGGTACCAGTAACGCTTGGTTGGTGTTGGTAGCGGGAGGAAAGGGTGTTGTTTGTCGGCACGTCTAGTTGAGTCGTATGGTCTTCGTTCGTTTGGTCTGTTCTGTAACTTTGAAATTTGTTTATGAAGAGTGGATGTTACGGTCTGAAGATTGTCACATTTCCGTATTAGTTCATTAATTTTTGTCTTTAAGGTCTTATTTTTATTCTGTAATGCAGTTAGTTGGATGGTATGGCCTGTTGATTTAAATAAATTACGAATATCTTCGGAACTTAGGTCTTGGAATGGTAAAGATTTCACTAACTGCAATCTATCGTAATAGTCCTTTATTCTTTTTGAATCCCTGCGCCGTTTGCTTACGGACTTAGTCTGCAGATAAAGTACACTCTTCCTTTGCGTCTCCGCAACAGCAACACTCTTCGGACTATTTTTGGAAGCAGTCCGAGAAATACACATACCTGCAGTAGAATCGCATTTTGACGACTTTTTGTCAGGCGATCCTACAGACGGGTTTCCCGGGTTTGTCTTCAAGCAGGCCCGTCCTGACCCCTTGGCTTGATCCTTTTTGATCGTTGAATGATCGATGGACGCCAATGGAAATGTATTCCTTTGGGAGGAACGGTAAGGTGTGGTTGCAGAAGAGAAACATACTTTCGCATGGTGACCAAGTTTTCCGCACACGAAACACTCGGAACGTGTAGCTTGACACGTGAAAAGATGGCCGTGGAAGAAAGTTTTCCCGCATCTATAGCACCGTGGACTGGATCCTGGTGTCGAGAAAATTCGTGCTGGTCCTGGTGTATTCCAAGGACGCGAAAGACAATGGCGCTGGAAAGATGCTGGGGAGGAGCGGTAAAATCCTTTTCTCCGGGTTTGCATGGTGTGGTTGAGGTTATAGTTGTTGGCTGTCTTGGGGAAACTCGCTTAGTTGCTGGTACTCAGGATCAAACTGCTACAAAATATATGCAGCAGTCCCGGGTGTTATACCCTTAGGATTTCTCCACCAAATTATCACCGGGGAAAATAAGTGTATAACTTTCCGGCAACAATGAAACATAAAAATGCTAACGATAGAATAGCACTTTATTATAACTTAGGTCGGTAGGGTGAATTCTGGAAATCCAAAATTACACCCGAACAATCCGAAGCCTAGGACTTGACTGATTAACAATGATGCATGTAACATATAAATAATAAAGTATAACAATGACAATTAGCACAATTCTGAACATGAGTGACAGATGGCTTAGATAGAATAACTCATGACATGTTGAGTAAATTGATTAAATTGGCGCGTTTTGAGTAACATAGTAATTAGCATAATTAAAGTTTTTCGTGATATTTAAAGTAATTACAGATAATTAAAAGTATATTTCAAAGTCAGGTAAAACATGTCACTAAAATTGTTTTTATCAAAATTTACACTGTGATACATTTCACAATATTTGTAGAAGGCTTATTATGTATGCCAACAGTTTGACCATTTGATGTCCAGGTATAAAGAATTAATTTTTGAAAATTGTATTAATTTTGATGGTTTTGACCCCACTCCTCAGGCCCCAGGAGGCAGATCTAGAGAACATGAAATTTACAATTTTGTCCCCCTTTGCACAAAGATGACATGTACATGTATATATATCAAAATTGTTTAAAATTGATTCAACCGTTCCATAGATATGTGAAAATGTTCAAATGTTGAACGACAACGGACACAGACGGAAAGCAAAAGGTCATTCGAGTGACTGAGGAGACCTTAAAAAGTAATGAAACAGATAATTCTTATATAATCCTTTTGAGATTTATTCATGGGTGGAGATGTTCTCTAAAATTATAATGAATCTTCCACAGCAAAGATACGAGTATGTACATGTGTCAATGATTTCATAGGATAGGTGGGTTCTGGCCTCGACCAAAAACCAAGAAGAGATTTACGGTCATTGTATATTCTTTGAATACAAACACATGGGGAATGTTTTGTTATATCGTAAATATGATTTCGAAATTTACATTGATTTGAAATTGCGGTCTGCTTGTTTGCAATTTATGGTCTTTAGACCCGAATGCCACTGCTGGCCCTAAAGTAATATCACAGTGCTATAAAATCTTTAATGACAGGAAGTCGAATGCTTCTGTTTATTTTGACTTATCTCAATGATTCATTCAGATGTACATAATACTTTCAAAATTATAATAAACACAAAGTTAAGTCAGATTGCGCCTTTTGCCGAACGACAACAACTTTCATCCACGGGTTACTTACAAAATTAACACTGCATTGTGATAAAATATAAACACGTTAAAATAGGAAGCATCTTTTTTTCTCTTTAAAACTAGCCAATAATACAAAATTCTGTTGATTACAAAACCAAATAAACAAATAAAAATAAATCGACTTACCGCCACCGTCAGTATGAATCACGTCCACAAAATGGGCATCAGTTTCATCTAATCTCGCGTCACTTCCTTTTGTGTTGAAAAATGGTCCTGCAGGATCAATACCTACAACAGAAATGCTGAATGAGCTCTTTATTTCTTATAAATTCTGATATAAATATATATTTCATTTATTGTCAGGTTCCTGCTTTTCTTTAGATTACTTGCTAATGAATATTTGCATCTATTCCACATTCCGTGAAGGATGGAGCCTGATCCTGTGTATGTCATGTTTTCTTGTATTACTTAGTACGCCAAATTAGTAAAACATCAAGTACAGAGCGATTGTTACACATGAAAATGAGCAAGAGGCTTAAATGCCTTAACATTCACCGGAGTAAAATAGAACAATGTTAGAAGAATGAAGTAAAAACAACTAATAGAAAGAACAAGACATGTTACCCACTAGCAAGAGAAATATGATGATCAGGGATCAACAAAATAGTTTAGTACTCAGTTAAAACAAGTATTAGCTTTCCTAAAAAGCTCGTCTGACTTTAGCAAATTTATTTTACGCGAAGAGTCAAGAGAAAAAAAATCTATTGTAATCAACATGACTCTGAGTCATGAAATGAATTCTTTTGCTAAGAAACAAGAAAATTTCAATTCAATGGCATCAACATAAAATAGAACTTGGACTTGAATTTATTCTATATAAACTATATTACTTCTTTTTTTATGGACGTAGGGACCGGGAGAGGGGTGCTCCTCCCAATAATTTTGCCGATTTATACATAGCTATTTTGTGCTTGTGTCCCTTAAATCATGTAAATATTAACTTCTGATAACTTTTTATGCTCTATAAGGAATTTAAATTTCCTTGATAGTGTACACCCTAAACTGAAAATTTCTGAAATTTCTTCCAACAGGCCTGTTCATGGATACAAAGATATAACCAGTGCCTTTGAAAGAAAAAAGATAAAACACATAAAAATCTAGACATCGATTTATAAAAAAATAAATAAATAAATAAATAAACGTGTTCCGAATGGGCTTGCATCTTTGCATTTAAGCAAAAGAATATTCAATATCTATACTTCAATTTGTTTTTTTTTTTAAATCAAATGTTTGCAAGTTATGAATATGTGTAGATTTATAAAAATTCTAAAGGTAGAGGGACTTAGTATATATGCATTGAAAATAAACATCCATTAGTTGATCTGATAAAGATAATCGACAAGTGTTGACCTGACCAGCTTCATTCCTATGTTTTGCTGGACATTAATGATGCATTCGAGAATGGCCAATTTGCATGTAACCTGTAATGTATAATGTGATAATAATGTGATAATAATGACATCAGCTCCGATGCTATGGCTTGTTTGGGTGTTTAGCGTGTTTCCTTTACTCCCCATGCTCTCTAATTGATAGTTAAGTTTCCAAGATCAAGTTATCACAAGAATTCTATTGAACGACTTGAACAACAAACTTTAGTTAAATCTAGTACTGTCTGACACCGTGACGTCAGACAATCATAAAGTAAATATATTTACTTGCCAGTGCTAATACACTCCAAAATGACACTATCACCATACAGACTAAACAAAACTAACATCACTTATGATTTTAATTGAATTTATGTATAAAATGAGTTGTTTTTTTTTTTACATGTGCGTTATGTTTATGTTGGTTATGTAATAGATATAGCATGTTGGGGACTGCAAGATTAAAAATTGCCATCTCCAATGATTAACAGGTTAGGGTCACGTGGTCAGCTGAGCGGATCAGTTGTATATTGATACCCGCACGCTAACCACAGCATATTTGAAGCACGTGTATTTCGAAAATATTTGACGCCGATGCGTAAAGAAATCCAAGAAGTTAGTGCTTTGTAAGTTACTTTATTTGAAAATGTCGAGAAATCCATTGGAATCTGTATGTCGGTAGGGCATGACTCATTGACCATCCATACAATTTTTGCATCTAAGTAGGTAACATAGTTGCTTGTTTGGCTCTGATCGTAACCTTCTACTTATAGATTATTTGCTTTTGCATATCTGTGATATCATGGAGATGTAATAGAGAGAAATATTAGATGTTTTTAATAAGTAGATCATAACTTTGATTGTGTAATAATCGGTTGAAGATTTTTATCCAACAGAAATGTTATTTATTTCCGTTGGAAATAATAAAGTAAATGGGACAAGTATTAGCTTTCTTAAAAAGCTGGTCTGACGTGAGCATTTTATTATACGAAGTATTAAAAAAAAAGTTGAATCCAGCGTAATCAACATCATTCCGAGTCCAGAAATAAATTATTTTGTTAAAAAACAAAAAAAGTTCAATCCCGTGGCAACAAATGAAATAAAACTCAGTTATGAATTTATTCTATATATACTGACAAGCATTACTTGTAATTTTCTTTTTTTCATGGCCTTAGGAACCCCCCCCCCCGTATTTTGCTGACATATACACGTAATTATATGCTATAAAAACACTTATGCTACTTTATGCTTCTTTCCCATAACTCAAGTAAATAATGATGTTTGAAATTCATGATAACCTTTTTTACTTGATATTAATGATAAGGAATTTTTCCTTGATAGTGCCCCCCCCTTCCATTGAAATTTTTAGTTGTGGATTCCCTCCCCTTGAAATTTCTCCCGACTGGCCTTTTCCTAGATACATAAATATAACCGGTGCTTTTGAAAGAAAAAGATAAAACACATATTAAAAAAACTAACATCAGTTGGTGAACAGTTGGGAGAATTATTTTTTTTTTAAATCATAAACTTGTTTTAATGAGCAAACGTCAGCAAAGTTACGCATATGTGTAATTCTAAAGGTATAAAGACTGTATGCATTGAAAAAAAATCTATTAATTAGTTAAGATATTCGGCGTACATGTTGACCTGATCGACCAGCTTCATTCCTGCTGTTTTGCTGGACGTACATGAATGATTGTGCATGTAATGTATAAGAGAGTGGGCAAATGTTATGTTACGTGTAATGTATAATGTGAAAATAATTAGGTCCAATGCTTTGGCTTGTTTGGATGTTTAGCCATTAATCCCCATGCTCTCAAAATTGATAGTTAAGATAGAATGAAGTTTCCAAGATCGAGTTATCACAAGAATTCTATTGAACGACTTGACCAACAAGCCTTGGCTAAATCTAGTAGGTTGCACAACAGTATTAAATTTTGCTATGTATTCTTACCAAAAATGCGCAACTTTGAGTAGGTGGTATTAATTGAAAACAAACTTTTGAGAAGTTTCCTTTTCAGATCTTGTAAAACAATTCTTTATAAAGATTTTAGTACCAAAAAATACATAGCCATCCAGCAAGGCACGCAAGTTTGTCTCGCTCGAAGTCGAGCAGGTGCTTGAAAATCAAATCCAGGACCTAATCACTCCCCACTCAAATACAGTATATAGAAAATTCAGCACGCCCTGCATTTTAATGAATCTAGTCAATATAGGAAGTTTACATATTGTTTTTCATCTCATAAAAAAATTCAGCTCCAGTCTCGTGTTAAAATGCCCGAATCGGAAGGGAAGATTCAGGAATTATTTTGCGTCAGCCATGATTTGACGTGAACCTCAAGTGAAATACTGTTATGACATCAGTACTGTCTGACGCCATGACGTCAGACAATAAACAGTTCCTTTTTCCTACCCAAACTCATAAATTGAGATTTCATTTAGGGTTCCAAACTTTTGCAGTCTCTTTCATCTGTACTGGAAATTGTATCTCTTTAAAATCCAGTTCATCAACGTTTTTTTTTAAACTCTATGTGAATTCTTTGCTTCAGGATGCAATGCAACTCTACCCATTGAACAATTTCTGGTCATATTCTGCACATTAAGGACTGCATTTTGACCTTAATTTGATTGACAAAGGATTAAATCTAGAATCTTTTAAAGGTTGATACCTTGTGACATTTAGTGTCAACCTAATCACTTTTTCAAGTGTCCAGTTGCTTCCTTCTTTTTGGTATTCTATATTTTTTTGTTGTTTTCTTGCAAGCTTTGTTTTAGGTCTTCAAGCTTCAAGGCCACATGACACCTCCCATAGAAATGATGTTCTTCAGTTTCAGTTGCATCTTCGTTTCTTTGGTATGGACTCTCCTGTATAAACATTTTGGGAGGCTACTGTGCTCAATTTCTGGGTTCCCCTACTCATAAATCAACAAACAATGTTCTATTTTAAAATATAGATCCTTACACATCAAAAGGATTATGAAATTTTAAAACCTGATATAGCCTATATAATATGTTTCTCAAAACCCAACTTGAAACTAATCACATTTTCGTTTGAGACTTTGCGTACGGGTTCTTGTATAATATTGGTTTATTTACAAATTTCATAATCTACAGAACAAGCATATGTTTCCTGATATGCTTTGAAGTGTTTATAAACTTAAATATTTATAATTAATTTTATTGGAATTTGTGTCTATCCGTGAGAAAAAATAGTGTTAGGGACATGCGGTCAAAAAAAGTGACATGTCGTGCAAACAAAGTTTTGATTTATAAATCAATAAATGTTTTATATAATAAGAATTACATGTATTTTGAAAACAGATTTTTAAAGAAAATTTACAAAATTGAACATTGTACAAACCAGGTTATTTTTACAGGATTGATGTGCTGGTGGTATATAAATAAACTAATATTCTTGCGCTATTATGCTAATGAACAGAGCAGTTTTCCCGCGCTAGTGATGAATCACAGAGAACATTGCCTGTGTTTGTAAACAAAGCGAGGAGTTTGCGAAGTAAACCAATTACTAATCTCAAGCGGAAGAATTAAACTGTACCAGTTTAAAAAATACAATTTTGAAATCAAAGTTCTTATTTCTTGTGCAAGCAATAAGATTTCGGTTGCTTAAAGGGTTAGATTTTTTCAGCAGTGGACAACTTTGTGTTATTTCTTTTTCCCTGTTAAAAAACACTCTTGAGAGTTTCTGTCTTCCAAAAACTAGATCTGTTTCACAGCAAGCTTTAAATACAGCAATGATCACTTAACATGCCTGTGATTCTTATCTCATTAATTGTCGGCACTACATTGGAAAGTGGTGTCCTTTAATATGTCCAGCTGTGTTTTGCTATCAGATGCTGACCATGTGATAAAGTGAATTAATAGGACCGAAGGCAATAAATAAAAACAAGATCAAAGTACTGAAAGTACTGGAAAGGCTAAGCATCTTGCAATTTGAAATTCATCAGAATTATTATGAATTTAAATTGCCTGTTGTATTGGAATTTAAGCAATATCTTGACAGTGCGGCTGCGCTAGGGCGAGTACAGTTGTTTGTTACATAATAAAACATGTGAGTCATGAAAATTTCCCGTTGGGATATGAAATTCAACAGTGTCTTATGACTTTTTATTTTAAGCATTTTACATTTTCTTCTTCTGTCAAAAGATCAATCAATTTCACATACATGAAATTGCAAGAAAACATTTTTCCTTTTCTTAAAAAAACCAATAAATACAAATTAAATGGCAGGCATTTACTCCAAACAGCAATGTATTTCTCAAACCTAATAGAAAAAAAACATGTAAAAATATTTTCTCTCTCCATCTCCTTATAGGAGTCTACAAGAAGTAGCTTTGCGTATAAATTGCAATTTATTGGAGGGGATGGTCGACGCGTTTTCCGACCAAATTTAGACTATAAATGTAGTATACATTTGCTGGAAAATATGTATTTCTAAATAATTTTGAACACTTGAAAATGTCGCTGAAATTCCTCTCATTATGTGCAACACCGACAGCTAAAACGTTCTGGTGATAATTTTTAATAAATTCATTCCGTGTGTACGAGTGTTTCAAATTGAAGATTGGCTGTTAGTGACTATGCTTTAATTTTAGAAACTGCACTCGGAAAATAAAGATGCTATTTGTTTATTGTGTCGATAAATATTTCCTGATTGATAACATAATTATTTATTAAAGTTATGAACAAAAAATCTCAAAAATATCAAATACTAGTATTTTCACTAAATTGTTCTTAGTATATCTCTTTTTTCATATTCATAAACGATTTATAAATTTACGATTTTATAGAAAGGATTTTATAAGAAATACATTAATGGGGTGTGTAAGATATTTACACAATCGGTACGGGCGTCCGGTATTTATTAATGATAAATAAAACTTGGATTATATATAACATTTTAAACACTTCACATTCATCGCGCTGTGCCGCATATCGGCATCATGTTTGTAACAATGTCATGTGACAAAACTCTATGTCAATGAAATGATTAACGTCCTCTTGTCAGAGATAATTGGTAAATATACATTTTGAGTATAAAGCTAAGATTTCTGTTGGTCTAACAATATGCATATCTGATTTAAAAATATTACTTTTTTTAATTTTTTTTTTTATTATTTTTCTTCTTCGGATTAAAAATATGTCATTAAATCCCCAAAAGTATTCTGGACTATTGTTGAAATACTTTAAAAATGCTTCAGTATTTTTTTTTTACGGACGTTTGATGCTTTACACCATTCTTTACTTGTTATTGTATAATTTTAACTACCACGCAAAAAGTGGTTAGAGGGAAAAAATATCCACAGCACTGTTAACGTTGTGTTAGTTGAAAAGGAATACTGAAAATAATTGCCCGTAATTTTTCTGCTATTTCCATGATAAATAATTCAACAGCCCATAAAGGAAAATACAATATATTAATCTCAAGTATTTATAAATCTTCATGAAGGTACATAACATGTTTTATTCTGTGTTTATGTGGTCCTCATTAATTATATAAGTAGCTTAGCAGTCAAATCGGCAACACGAGCACATCTTTACATAAACTATTTCTTCCTAGTTTCCTGATACAAGTATTACACTGTTTGCTTAACATTTCATCGGGGCTATTCCTGTCCATTGCTAAGAACGTTAATTAAGGGTTTTGCATTTTTAGCCATATCTTGCGCACTGCACACACAATTTTTAAAGCACAATATCCCGAGAAATTAGTTTTCCTATTTAAGTGGATTCGTTGAAAACACAGCCACCACGTGCCTTACATGTACGTACAGCCGCAAACTCCTTTCCTTGCGAATTATTTCCATCATATTTTTACATATATTACAAGTATAGAGTACAACACAAGTATAGACAGTCCATGAATGCATTCCAGTCTGTTTCTAATTGATACTGAGATGCGAAAATCAACTTCATTGATAGTTCTCTGCATGGTGCAAGGGTGATAATAGGAAGACTTGTTTTAGTTACATTACCTGAAATAAGAGTCTAGAGGAAGAAATAATAGTTTATATGGATATAAGTTATATAGAACGTTCATATGTAAGTACCGTATATTGTAAATCAATTTTATGCGAAATTTTCTACTAAAAAAGTTAAACTCAATTCCAGTTTGAGTTTTAAATACTTGTTAAAATCCCATCCGAGTTTTAAAAATATGTACTTATTCAATCACTACATTACATGTACATGATAAATAATAAACCGTTTTTAATTAGGTATTTGCGCCATAGATGCAGCAATTGTAAGCTACATGGTACACAAATGATGAGTGCTGACACGATTTTAAATGAACTACAATGTATAGAGATAAGCATGACAAGAACCGCCCTTATCAACTAACAGTGGATTTTCGTACAATGTACATGCATTCTTTACCTCTACTAATTAACTCCTATTATTAGAATCTGAAATGTATATATTTATAAATGTGAAGAGATTAAGAAATCAAATTAATTCAAGAGTAGATACATCATGTAAATAGTCAATATCATGCCATTGGGATGAATTTAAAGTCTTCAGTCGAAAAACCAAAAGAATTGAAATATTAATTAAATGTGCATACATGTATCAATAAAAGTCAAGTAGCTGAATTTCAAGAAAGGCTAAACCGAGAGAAATGATATATAAAATGTGCATATCAATTAAAGTCAAGTAGTTATATTTTTTCAAGAGAGACTAAACCAAACGAAATGACATATAAAATGCTCATTTCAGTTAAAAGTCAAGAAGTTGAAATTCAAGAGTAGCTAAATCAGGAGAACGAAAATATTTATTCTGCATACCAATGATCATAAAAGACAGGGAGCTGAGTGAATTTCAAGAGTAGCTAAATCAAGAGAATTGAAATAACATATGTGCATGTAAATTTTCAAAGACAAGGAGTTGAATTTTGATAGTAACTAAATCAAGAAAATTGAATTATGTAATAAACATATAAATGAAGGTAAAAGATATGAATTTTATGACTGGCTTAATCTTGAGAATTGGAACATATTGATGTGCAATGAAAATGTCAAATTGTTTGTCAATTTAAGAAAGCAGTGAAAATATTCAATGAGCATGTTAACGAAATAATTCAATTTGCGCTATTTATAAGTAATAATTCCCTACTTGTAATACTATTGTAGGTTTGACCAATTAGTTTGAGATATGTGTGTTTAAAGCTTTTTCTTGTTTTTGTCTATTTAGGAGTTGTTTTAGTTCTGTAATATGATTTTACAACAGTTGTGCTATTTTTCCCTATTTGAAATTTCTAGTCACTTGATATATAATATTTCTGTCAAATGATATTGAGTGCCCAAAAATGTTCCCGGTAGTTTTAATGATGATATTCTGTGCCCTGTGGCCATTTCAATGATGGTATACTTTAATATTTTACTTTAAATGCAAGCTACATTGTCATTTTACAAAAAATCCCGAAACTAATTAGTATTACACTGTATTTGTTTTCTATGTTTAAAGGTTCGATTTCTGATAAATTATTATACATTCCAATAGATATTAAAAAAATTAAAATATATGTCTTAAAAATACATGATGGAAAAGGTGAAAATAAAATGATTTAATTCTATTTCTCAAAGAAAAGTAAATTGTTCTCTCTCTCTCTCTCTCTCTCTCTCTCTCTCTCTCATATATATATATATATATATATATATATATATATATATATATATATATATATATATATATATATATATATATATATATATATATATATATATATGAAGAGTACAAGCAGCCGCATTTGTGATTATGACCTTTTGACAACAACACAATGCGCGTGCGTGACTTTTTTCATAAAAGTATTGTTTAAGTAATAAAGTCAGAAAGATAGACAGGTAGTAAAGACAGACATGGTTAGTTTATTATACTCCAACAATTATGTTGCTATGTGTGCCTTCACTTCTAAATGAAAATAAATAAGATGAATGATGTATTTCTATGAAAAGAAAGTATATTTAACTCTTGCCATCAATAATAATATTCCTCTCGCGTTTTACCTGTGATCCTTTGATATCTTGTTTCCTTATGGGCACTTCCTGCGAATCCTGCAACATGGGCCCCTAGGCTGTGTCCAATGATGTGGATATGTGATTTTTTGGCGCCCTGGTGGTCTTCTAGACTTCTTACAAGTAGAGCTAGAATGGTTCCAACCACTTCAGTATTCACAGCAGCTTGTTCGTAATGTCCAAGATGATCCGCGCCTTTCTCCCAATCCACCACTATCACGTTTGCGTCCACCTGTGAAAAAAATCCCGAGTCTTGTTTGTGTGAGAAAGAAATTTATTACTTATATTTACGAGTTGATATTGCGAATGAATAATTGACTTAAGTGTATTTTATATTTTTTAATGATCTCTTAAATACATGTACGACAAACCTCGGATAAAATATTTCGGCGCATATCAGAAATCCAAGACTTTTCCTTATTATTTAGGAATCCATGAACAATTATGTAAGTTTTCTTGGAAGGGTCGAAATGGCTGAAACTCGATACATCTGAGAATCTGAGTTGTATATCATTTTTATTTACGGAATAAAAATAAAATCTTGGGTCTATATCGTCAGGGGTGTCAGGTAGGACTCCTTGTCTGTACGAATGAATGAGCAGTAGAGAACGAATACAACCAATCCATAAAGGAAAACACAAAATGACAGCTCCTACAATAATAATTCAAACCAACCTTTTCTAAAGTAATACATATATTCATTAGCTAAAATAATTTTACGAAAATATCGGAACAAAAACAAGTACTTATAATTTGACAGCATAACGAACTTCTCTTTGATATTCAGGAAGAATAAAATTAATATGAAATGAAAATCCATGCAAGTTATCACAAATAATAAACTTTATTCACAACATATGCTGTAGGAGTCGGCGTACCCATCGATTTTATCTTTTTTTTTTCACTGAATATAAATGTTTTATATTTTCATTATAGGCATCATTTTCACTGATTTAATAAAACATAATTATGTGGATTGCTGATAGTCTCCTACATCTTCATTGTATGTCGTAAATAGTCTATCGATGGAATATCTACATTAATGTATTTAAATCCTCTTTTTTTTAATTTGAACTTATCTAGTAGTTGTTCTCATTTAAACTTCTAATGTAACAAATTATAGAACATTGTTTTTGTTTAAGCTAGATGAACTCCTGGCGAGGTTTGCTAGTTTTTTTATGCTCAGAAATGTGTCATACAACACAAATGGAAGAAATCAAAGAAGAAAAGAACATAAAGGATTTTGTAATTTGGTGAGATATTTCATCAATGAGCTATGTGTTTTCTATCCCAGCTCTTGGCATTTATCCACTAGATAAAGGGATGTATATATACGAGATAAATTGAAACATCTACTAAAAACATTACCTGCTGTTACCGCTACCCAACCGATTGCTCTTTTTGCCCGAAGTGATTTATCTATGTTTAGAACTGTCAGTGCATTATTTTTTAACTCATTTGTTATCGAGATATTGAGGGATTCTAAGAAATCTGCGTCATATTCAGTATCCAAACTCTTTCGTAGGTGAGGTTCATTTGCACTTCTTCTGGATCGTTCAACCAAGTTTACTTGTTTTCTGCTGACAAATATTCCTACGATCTGATACCCTTTAAGTTTATTAACTTCTCTTTTCTTTCTAGAATTAGTCATCTTGTCCACGTCCCAGTCAATGCCGTGTGAGGAAAAATCAAATTGTGCTACTAAACTTGTGGCAAATTCGTTTTCGTCGATGATTTCCTCAGAATCCTTCTCAACGTAAAACATGAACTTTCTTTGGTGTCCATAAACATCATTTCGAAGACAGGATCGAAATTTAGCCATACCTTCATCGAATTTCTCACGGAATGCATGTTCATAAACCTGCTTTATACTCCAGTAAATCTTCTGTTGGTCTGTGCCTAAAAGGTTGCAGAACTTGGCATTTCTGTTTTGGAAGTAACAATCAGAATGTACCCGGTAAGCACGATCTCGAATGTTTCTGCAATCTTCAGTGTTATTTGGCATTAACACTGACCTCAACCTATCCTCGATACATTTCTGCGATGATCTGATCCAACTCTTTCCATCCTCTGAAAATGAATTATATTCCTCCAAAAAGATAGAACAAATTGCTTTTCCGTATGAAATAGCGTAATTAGAATCACTTCCTTCGCATGAAGAGTGGGCCTCCAGACATTTGGAATACCACTGACAATTGTTGTCCATGGCGGGTATGTAACAATCAGGGGGTACTTTAACCCTTGCTTCACGCCCTTCTAATGCCAGGGATCTCTTTCTTCTTTCGTTTTCAGTTGGATCACACACACATTCTTTTGCTATATGTCCTTTTCTGATTTCAGGGTATACACTCTGAGTACATGGTAACCAACAATATGCGGATCCTCTACAACCCATATGTCTTCCTGTGTATTTCCTCAAAGACTGGGACGACAGACAGACGGCCCATTGATAACCGTTATATTTGGGTATTCGAACACAGTCATACACTCCCTCAGTTCCATGATTTGGATCACATGTATCGCAAAGTGTTAGCTTTACGAAGGTAAAAAATATAACCGTTTTTAAAAATCCTACCATTTTTGAACGTACACACGGGAACGGATCAGGAATTTCTGTTTGGTGTCTTTATTTACTTCCTTGTCATTACCAGCTCATGTCACTGCATGATGTTTTAAACATTTAAATGTTTTTCTATTATACTTCGTTCTCAAACTGGTTAAGTCTGTATTTAAAAACACAGTTTGCTTAATAAATGCAACCAAGTTTAAAACGTTTAATCCCCCCCCCCCAAAAAAAAACAATCAATTAACAAGTGGGAAGGACAACGTTTAAAATGAATTTGTTCTAAGCACGAATTGAATTGTAATTATTAGTTCCTGTCATGTATACAGCAAACGTATAAAACCAAAACTTTAGTTCACTCTTGTTGTTTGCACTTTTTAACAAAAGCTTTAACGGCTGTCTTTGATCTAAAAGTTAATAACATTATTTTCTTATATTACAGTTCTATTATCGTTTTGGAACTCATTTGTATAATCATGGTATTGAAATATTATATGTCTTTTTAAGACTAAAACAGGTCCATATCTTTAAAAAGTCACAATTCTGTTATACAGTCTAGTATAATGCATTGCTTACTTGATCCTTCTGATTGCAAAATAATGTATTGATAGTTTTTCTTCTGTTCATATTCTATTAATACTGAATTCAAAGGTGTATAACAAAAGTTTCAAAACATAATACCAGTCTAACATACGAAGACACTTTAATTCATTCGATATTTCACAGTTTTATTCAATCGTGTATTCATGCCTTTGTTACTTGTAATGTTTACATATGGTGTATCTGTTTTTGATGGTAACAGGTGCTCGTAATGAACTTGACATTCGTAATTTGTGCTGACCTTTTAAAATACTCGTCATTTCAATACTTCGTTCAAATTTGTTATGTAAGTGTATGATTATTAATCTAAACTGTCATTTTTTTCTCAAAACAAAATTAAAACTTAACTTGTGCTTGCAAAGTTGATTGTCACAATTTTTATTGATTGACTACGTAATGTTCCGTCTATCTGATATATATATATATATATATATATATATATATATATATATATATATATATATATATATATATATATAAAGGGCTCACGGATTATTGAGATCGATCACCGTTTGTTATATATATATATATATATATATATATATATATATATATATATATATATATATATATATATATATATATATATATATATATATATATATATATATATATATATATATATATATATATATAAAGGGCTCACGGATTTCTGAGATCGATCTCTATTTGTTATATATATATATATATATATATATATATATATATATATATATATATATATATATATATATATATATATATATATATATATATATATATATATATATATATATATATATAAAGGGCTCACGGATTTCTGAGATCGATCACTGTTTGTTATCTTCACACTTTCATTTACTCCTATAAATAAAGTTTAAAGCTAAATTGCGTCATATGTTTGTTGCCACAATATTTTCACAGCTTTCAATAGTCCGTAATATCTGACGTTTTCCTGGCTTTTTTACTATTTTTATATTTTACGTGCCAGGAAAACGTCAGAACCGGCGCCATTACGAAAACTGGAAATTTTGCCGTCTCCAATCGGAGTTGATTTTCGAAACCTCGGAATCGAATTAAATGCCGTTTCCACAATTTATCATTAGCACAATTCTTCTTGTACTCACCAATATCGATGAAAAGAAAACATCACTCATCATTTCGAGACAGGACTTGAAAGATTTTAAAATGCACGAAATGAAAACAAATCTCGACAGTCAGATAAAATGTTTTCATCGGATTATATATTTTATAAACAAACCATAAAAACGATGTTGGTGAGTACTACATGCATTGTACTATTGATAAATTGTGAGTTTGACATTTCATTTGCTTTGCAAGTATCGAAAATCAACCCGATAATGCCGCCTGTGGATGGAGGCGGCAATTCCCAGTTTTCGTAATGGCGCCGGTTCTGACGTTTTCCTGGCATGCACGTAAAATATCAAAATCGTGAAAAAAGGTCTTAAAAACGTCAGATATTTCGGACTAAGTTTTCAAATGACATATTATTATACTTGTACATGTATACCGGTCTTGTAGAATATGCTTTCCCCTTTAAAATCTTTCCTCCATGAAAACTGGCACTAGAGTAGGATTTCCTACCCACCCACCACCATCCCACTAGAGTACAAACTCTGGGGGGAAAACTTATATTACTATGGGAGAAATCCCACTCTACAACACCGGTATAAGGCCCAAATGATTGTATGTCTTTCTTGTAACTATTATAGGTTTGTTCGTAATCGTTGCCTTTGATAGGCTATTAGGGGTAATAAAAAGTAAGGCTATAAATATCCACCGTTGTGACGTCGCAATGGTTTTTGCGTGAATTTGTTCAAGTCAAATACTGTGAAATTACATAATATAAAAGAATGAAAACATATACATGTAATTAAAAAAATATACCATGGTTTGTGATTTTATATTACGATTTTATATCAAATTCTTTGTGTGTTTTCATCCCCTTGCCATGAGGCTTTTAGCCTTGATGGAAAATTTCTGGAACATCAGATGGCATCAAACCCAATGTTGAAAAGAATCAAAGTACTGAAAGTACTGATGGGAGTTGATTTCAATGACGATTTCAATCAAATTTTATGTTTGTAACCTTGTTTATAACTTTTCAAATTATGCACAACATTAATGCTCGAAATTTGGTATACGAGAATCAAATGACCAAGAAAATGAAAGTCAAAGAGGTACTAAGGCTTGTTTTGATTTGACCATAACTTCTGAATACAAAACGTGTAAGATTTCTTCACTGCTCAAAATTTGTCATTAGTTTAAGGTATTTTTCTGACCAAAAGTTTGTTTGAAAGTGCTATAGCAACTTAGCTTTTCGTCAGAATGTGATACAAGTTGTGAATTTCACGCCTATATATAAAATCTCAGAATAAATTTTACGTGTACGTTTGAGTTTACATATAGAGAAATGGTCACATTTTGCTAATTTGCATTGCCGCCACATATTTTCAATATGGCAGATTTTTGTTCAATGCATTATATAAGGAAAAATCTAAAGCGTACCTTCATTACAATGATATTCATGTAGAAAAAATATGGTGAAAGAGCTTACAAGGTCTTGATCAAGTAAATTTGTAAAAAAAAAAAAAAAAAAAAAAAAAAAAAAAAAAAAAAAAGCACATGAAAGTGTGGAGCTTGCACTTTTAGTTTCTAAGATACGTCTAATAAGGTGTTTTTTTAGACTGGAATATTATTAAGCTGAAAATCACATTTAAGACAGAATTCAGAAAAACTGAACAACATTCTCAGTGGGGAAATGCAGGTTTTGTTTGTTTGTTTGTTTGTTTGTTTGTTTTGTTTTGTTTTTTTGTTTTTGTTTTGTTTTTGTTTTGTTTTGTTTTGTTGTTTTTGTTTTGTTTGTTTTTACCTGAGGAGATATTGAACTTCATTATTGTCATATGATGAGGGATATGGTCAAAAAAATATTTTCATATATTAAAAAGATTAGCGATGTTAAATCGGTCAATTTTTGATAATCGGTCACTCGCACGCTTTTCCGATCGAGTACCCGGGTACTCGGTAAAATCAGAGACCTATATACTATATATAGTATATAGGTCCCTGGTAAAATGTAAATACAAGTGTGTTAGTTAATTTTCTTGAGCCCCATTAAACCCCAAAGCTGTTTTTATCACGTTTATAATTGTATATATATATATATATATATATATATATATATATATATATATATATATATATATATATATATATATATACATCGATTCCAAAGTGGATGATTTTTGGTAGTTAATTTATTTATCAAACAAACACAAAAGGCATAATTATTACATCAAAAATTACAAATCGTTTACGGTTGTTGTTTAGGATCTATTTTATCAAAAGGAGGACAATCTGTTACGCAAGTTTGTGATGATTAGACTAGCGAAAGAGAAGGAACGGACGTTGTTGGGATCGCTATAGTCTAATATTATTTCATTTGTTGGTTTTACCCCGTATACACTAAACTTACTACGTAACCCGACTTTTAACATTTTTTTTTTAATCTTTAGTTATTTCTAAATATTTCTTCACTTTTGAAGTGGATAGTGGCATTTCTATGCATGTCCGAATTCGCTGCCGTATATTAAATAACTAAATAATTTAAAAATGATTTGAAGATAATCGACCATCGATGTCCACTGAAAACAATCATTGAAGCCATCCAAAAATTAAGGACAACAATAGGTGAGAACAGCTGTGTACCAGGTGATAGGTAACTAATTACTGTATATACACAGCCACAGGCGATAATGGGTGTTTTTCAGGTGTAGATGACGACACGCTGTAATTACCGTGTGCATATTTAAGTTAGTTTTTGATAAGTTTTTGATATAAATATGTACATTGAAATAAGGAAAAATACACATCCGAGTACCATTTTTAGTATTCGATACTCGGACGTTCGATCGAGTACCCGGTTAACCGGGTACTCGTTGATCGACATCCCTAAAAAAGATTGATAATTTAATTTTTTTTCCCCGAAAAATAGGACAAAAACAACACTCCTAGTGGGGAAGATCAGAACTTCATTATTGTCATATATAATGAGGGATATGATCAAATAATTATTAATGTTTCATATAAAAGATTGATAATTTTTTTTTTTTTTTTTTTTTTGAAAAATATTACAAAAATAATGAACATTCATTAACAACGGTCAAGTTGTCAATAATTCATGAAAAAGTCGTACAACATTTAACCAAGGAATGTACCCCGACCAAAGTTATATCACGACAAATACAATCTATATTGGTGATGAAAAAATTAATGGAGCAATATGTGATTACCAGGAATAACAATTCTTCTCAAATTTATGTCATCTTTACACTGAGATTTGTATCGTTTTTATAGATTTTTTTTATAAGATCAATCACTGTTCGTTATCTTCACCTTTTTCATAGTGATTTGGA